ACTTGAGTTTCATTTATTTGGTCTCAGCAAACATGTTCCTAATCGCCTCCTGGTAAAACTCATTCACAGGTTTTCTTCGCATTTTTAAGGCAGCCGTCAAACTGTTTGGAGAAAATGGTGTAAACTTTTAACAAAAAAAACTGTTAGCTCACTTACAAATTATCAGGCGTCCATTCTTGGGGAACCAGTGTAATCTTCGTTGGCATCTCCTTCTTTGCAAAGGACAACTCAGTGCAGGTCTCTTCAANCAAATTATCAGGCGTCCATTCTTGGGAAACCAGTGTAATCTTCGTTGGCATCTCCTTCTTTGCAAAGGACAACTCAGTGCAGGTCTCTTCAATGGAAGTTTTAATGTGATCTACCACTGTTGGGTGATTGCAAAGTTGCTCCAAAGACAGTGAGGATGGCAAATCTAACTTTTTCACTAGCTCATCCATAGCTTTCCGGTTAGGCGAAATGATCGCCGTGACGTAGTTGCTGTTGGTGTTTGTACAAACGCAGATGTTCTCAACGTACGGCGAAGATGAACGAAGTCCAGACTCAATTTTTCCCAGTGAGACGTACTCTCCATTGGCCAACTTCATGAGGTCTTTTCGGCGATCTAAATGAAAGAAAACATTAAACTTTTTTAAAACATGCAACAATTTCTTTCATTAACCAATTATTTTTAAGTTTCCGTCTGGAAGGAGTTCTGCAATGTCACCACTTCTAAACCACCTAGTTCCCTGATCGTCCACGAAAAATGCTTCTTCAGTTTCTTGTGGCATTTTGTAATATCCGAGACTTATGTTCTCTCCGCCAACCACAACTTCACCTTTAGAATGTGTAAGNGACGTACTCTCCATTGGCCAACTTCATGAGGTCTTTTCGGCGATCTAAATAAAATAAAACATTAAACTTTTTTAAAACATGCAACAATTTCTTTCATTTACCAATTATTTTCAAATTTCCGTCAGGAAGCAACTCTGCAATGTCACCACTTCTAAACCATCTAGTTCCCTGCTCGTCGACAAAAAATGCCTCTTTAGTTTCTTGTGGCATTTTGTAGTATCCGAGACTTATGTTCTCCCCGCCAACCACAACTTCACCTTTAGAGTTGGCAAGTTTTCATATTAGAAAAAAGGTACTTTCATTTCACACCATGCCATACCTCTTGGATTAGGTTTATCATTTGCACTGTAACCTCCTTCTTCCCAGTCCTCAAGGTAAAATCGGTTAGAGTGCAATGGTACTCCGCAATGTCCATATGTCAAAGAATTGTTGTTGGTTATATGACAGGCACCAGTCATTTCCGTTGATCCTATAAATAGTTTTTTAAATGAGCTTTTTAACCAAATGTTAAAAGTTTACTTACCATACGCTTGCATCATTTTAACGTTAAAGGTCTCCTGGATTAGTGCCTGAGTTCGCTCAGAAAGCGGAGCACTGCCAACGAACATGCTCACCAACTGTTTTCCACCGGCAAACTGCGTTTTCACTCTGTCGCTGAGCAGTCGGTTGAGAAGGGGCGAATCGAATCCTCGACCCTTCCACCGTATTTTGTAGTCAAGAAAGTAGTTAAAGAGGGGTACTGCCAACGGTCCGCGTGTTTCCAACTTTCGGTAGACTTCCTTAAGAATGCGGTCTAGCACTAGCGGGACGCCAGGCATCAGCTCTGGTTTAATCAGTCTGAAGTCACCCACCTGTCCGGGAACGTGGCCAGGGCTGCTGTCGAGCATCGTCAGACTGCTGCACATGCCGATTCGGGCACGGCTATACAAGCACAAAAAATTGTACATATATCCAAAGATGTGAGCCATCGGGAGGTAGGCGGGAAAGGAAACATTAAACAGTGAAATGTCCAACTGGCTATCATGTCGCAGCATATTGTGCAAACCGGTGCCAAAGTTTCGATGTGTTAACATGACACCTAAATGCAAATTGTCAATATTAAAAACTAGTTTACATTTAAACTTCAACCTTTTGGTACTCCTGAAGTCCCACTGGTGAATTGAATCACTGATACTTCGTCTGGGTCAGGTACCTCAAACTCCACCGGTTTCATTTTACTGCCGATCTCTACCACATTACTGTACGAGATCACCTGATAACCTTTGTTTGTTTTTAGGTTAGAAATCGTTTTTTCAAGCTTAGCAGTATCCTTTGCCGACGCCACTTTATTGCCAATGTACACGACGTTAAGAGTTTGAGCAAATG